TCTGTTCTGTACGACATCTATTGCACGTCTGTCCGTCCTGGAAGAGGGATCCCTCCTCAGTTGCTCTTCCTGAGGTTTCTACCGTTTTTTTTCCCCGTTAAAGGGTTTTTTTGGGGAGTTTTTCCTGATCAGCTGTGAGGGTCATAAGGACAGAGGGATGTCGTATGCTGTAAAGCCCTGTGAGGCAAATTGTGATTTGTGATATTGGGCTTTATAAATAAAATTGATTGATTGATTGATTGATTGATTGATGAGGACAGTTGTACATTATGAGGACAGTTATGAGGACATTTCTTCAGTGGTTAGATGATGTCATACCATCTTCCCAATCATCATGACGTAGGGCCCCAGGTACTTGTTGACCCCGAAGATGTCGAGGACGCGGATGTACCAGAAGATGATGTCGACGCAGTAGATGACGCGGCCGTAGCCCATGGACGGTTCGCTCTGCAGACGCAGCAGGAGACCGAACAGGAAGACGGAGATGGCGACCAGGTCTGTGATGTTCCAGTAGTCCTCCAACCACACATTGATCTTCTGCTTCAGCTTCCCCGGCTCTGACATCAGGATCTGGTGTGTGTGTGTGTGTGTGTGTGTGTGTGGGGGGGGTCAGAGGTCAAAGGTCAGAGGTCATCAGTAACGTGTCAGTGTGATGTTAGGTGTGTCTCCATGGTTACCTGTCGGACCTTCTCCAGGCCCAGAGTGATGATGTAAGAGATGACGATCCACTCCTGGAGAGTCGGCCAGCGCTCCATCTTCACCAGAATGATGTAATTATACAACATCAGGTACACCAGGTACGAGATCTGAGACACACACACACACACACACACACACACACACACACACAAACAGTGTTACAGTGTCATCGTTTCAGAGCCTCATTAACTGTAAGCTAAGCTAACAGGAGTTAGCACATCTGTGGTGAAGCTAACGTAATAATAAAACATTATGACATCACTACTGCAGCAGCAGCTGCAGTAGCTGCAAATATATGAACATGTCAGAGGTCAGAGGTCAGACAGAATAGAGCCTCTAGTATCAAAACGAAGTCATATTTCTATTAAACGGTACAGGTACTAATATAACTGTAGTTCTGTGTGTTCTCTGATTTTAGTTTGGAGGCTTTATCAAACTGCTCTCAGAGCTCTAACTGATCTTTTAAAGAAGAAGAACAATAAAAGAAATGATTTTGAGATGATAAATACTTTTTGTTTGATGGAAGAGTCTCAGTTGTTGTATTTTCATTCTAATGTTATTTTAAGACGTTAAATGTTGAAATTATATTCTTTAACTTCTGTTTTTTTTTTTAACTCTATTTTTTAAATCAAAATATGAGATGTCCCATTTGACCACCAGTGTCTGTAGGAAGGTGATTTTAGGACAACATGTGTTTGAGAGTCATCAGTTCTGTGTTTGGTTAGTCTTTGTTTTTGCTCTGTAAGCTGCAGTCGGGCTGAGTGTTCATAGATCTGTGTTTTGGCAGTCAGGACGTTGACCATGATGATCCAGTTAAACTGTTCCAGAATACAAACCCAGTTTAAACTCACTGTCCCTGAATGTTAACGAACGTTCAGTGTTTGTGTCTTTAGCCCTTTTTTTAAAAATAGGAGTTGTGCAAATTTGCAGGAAAGCCCAATCAGTCTTTTTTCAGCATTGGCAGTATAAAAACAAAATCGGGGAGTGCAGCAAAATGCCGCCTACCTACTTTTGTTTATACAGAATGTGCCTTTTTCGGGGCAATGGGGGGCGTGAGCAAGTAACAAAACGTGTAGCTCAGCGTGTGACGTAAACAGTGACGTGGGAGGGAAGCCGCGGCTGGTCAGTCCTTCGGCGATTCTCTCGTAAGTCGGCCCGTTCTTCACCGTCCCCGTCATCTGACGGTTAATGGCCTCTTCGTTTGCGAGGACAAGGGGGGCGCGCAATTCCTTGTCTCCCCAGTTGCTCATCTTTACAGTGTCTGTCAGGTTTGTGTTTCCCTCTTGCTACTAGCTGCTCGCTAATTCCTGCTATCAGCTGTTTCCTGTTTATCCACCGCCAGTGGCTCGCACGTGCGGCATCATCAACAGCTCCTCCCACAAGTCATCAACAGCCCCTCCCGTGGCAGAAGGGCACCTCGCTCTGTTTAAACTAAAAAGGCTCCGCCAATATGTCTACCCTATGAGGCCGAAAATTGGGCGGCTCTGAACAGCTCGCCAATCCAGCTCTGTGTGTCTAAACACTCGCAGCTTGCCGGCAAAACGGCCCAACATTCGTGGAAAATCTGGCAGTGTGAAAGGGGTGATGTCACGCTGCAGTCAGAATGAAAACCTGACCTCTGACCTCTGACCTGTCTGTTAATATAAACCTTCTGAACATTCTGGAGTTGAATATGTGAAACTTGCCGTGTTGAACCAGAACTTGGTGAAAGGAGCGTTGTAGAACTCGTAGATTTTCCTCATGACCGGAGTCTTTCTCCTGTGTTTCTTCTGCTCTTCTTCTTCATCTCCTTTTTTTGACATGGCGTCCACATTGGAGACAGCATCCTAAAACAAACTTATATCACTTACACTGCTGATGAAGACAAAGTCTCTGAAAGCTGCTGTCAGCAGCGGCAGTGGTTTGGTACCTTGCTGGATTTGTTGTCGTCATCCTTGATTCTCTCCTCTGTCTCTTTGGACAAATGAAATGAAGCTTCATCTCCAAGACGGAAGTCCATGAGGAGGATGGCAGGAGGGAACACGATCCCTAAAATCACCTGGAGACAGAACACTCATTATCACATCAGCCTGCTGTCTGTCTGTCTGTAATATTATTATACTGTGTTGTGTTCCTTTAATACACTCCAGTCAGGTGGAGGCAGTAGAGAACAGGTGGAGGCAGTTGAGAACAGGTGGAGGCAGTTGAGAACAGGTGGAGGCAGTAGAGAACAGGTGAGGGCAGTAGAGAACAGGTAGATGCAGTAGAGAACAGGTGGGGGCAGTAGAGAACAGGTGGAGGCAGTAGAGAACAGGTGGAGGCAGTAGAGAACAGGTGGAGGCAGTAGAGAACAGGTGGAGGCAGTAGAGAACAGGTGGAGGCAGTAGAGAACAGGTGGAGGCAGTAGAGAACAGGTGGAGGCAGTAGAGAACAGGTGGAGGCAGTAGAGAACAGGTGGAGGCAGTAGAGAACAGGTGGAGGCAGTAGAGAACAGGTGGAGGCAGTAGAGAACAGGTGGAGGCAGTAGAGAACAGGTGGAGGCAGTAGAGAACAGGTGGAGGCAGTAGAGAACAGGTGGAGGCAGTAGAGAACAGGTGGAGGCAGTAGAGAACAGGTGGAGGCAGTAGAGAACAGGTGGAGGCAGTAGAGAACAGGTGGAGGCAGTAGAGAACAGGTGGAGGCAGTAGAGAACAGGTGGAGGCAGTAGAGAACAGGTGGAGGCAGTAGAGAACAGGTGGAGGCAGTAGAGAACAGGTGGAGGCAGTAGAGAACAGGTGGAGGCAGTAGAGAACAGGTGGAGGCAGTAGAGAACAGGTGGAGGCAGTAGAGAACAGGTGGAGGCAGTAGAGAACAGGTGGAGGCAGTAGAGAACAGGTGGAGGCAGTAGAGAACAGGTGGAGGCAGTAGAGAACAGGTGGAGGCAGTAGAGAACAGGTGGAGGCAGTAGAGAACAGGTGGAGGCAGTAGAGAACAGGTGGAGGCAGTAGAGAACAGGTGGAGGCAGTAGAGAACAGGTGGAGGCAGTAGAGAACAGGTGGAGGCAGTAGAGAACAGGTGGAGGCAGTAGAGAACAGGTGGAGGCAGTAGAGAACAGGTGGAGGCAGTAGAGAACAGGTGGAGGCAGTAGAGAACAGGTGGAGGCAGTAGAGAACAGGTGGAGGCAGTAGAGAACAGGTGGAGGCAGTAGAGAACAGGTGGAGGCAGTAGAGAACAGGTGGAGGCAGTAGAGAACAGGTGGAGGCAGTAGAGAACAGGTGGAGGCAGTAGAGAACAGGTGGAGGCAGTAGAGAACAGGTGGAGGCAGTAGAGAACAGGTGGAGGCAGTAGAGAACAGGTGGAGGCAGTAGAGAACAGGTGGAGGCAGTAGAGAACAGGTAGAGGCAGTAGAGAACAGGTGGAGGCAGTAGAGAACAGGTGGGGGCAGTAGAGAACAGGCGGGACAGTAGAGAACAGGCGGGGGCAGTAGAGAACAGGCGGGGGCAGTAGAGAACAGGTGGGGGCAGTTGAGAACAGGCGGGGGCAGTAGAAAACAGGTAGACATAGTAGAGAACAGGTGGGGGCAGTAGAGAACAGGTGGGGGCAGTAGAGAACAGGTAGACATAGTAGAGAACAGGTGGGGGCAGTAGAGAACAGGTGGAGGCAGTAGAGAACAGGTAGACATAGTAGAGAACAGGTAGAGGCAGTAGAGAACAGGTGGAGGCAGTAGAGAACAGGTAGAGGCAGTAGAGAACAGGTGGAGGCAGTAGAGAACAGGTAGAGGCAGTAGAGAACAGGTGGGGGCAGTAGAGAACAGGTAGAGGCAGTAGAGAACAGGTAGAGGCAGTAGAGAACAGGTGGGGGCAGTAGAGAACAGGTTACTGTGATGTTTCCTGTGTCTCTGATCAGCTGATTGAATCATTCATGTTCACTCTCAGTTCATTTTTGGTCCAAACACATTCAGACACATTCACAGTCACAGGAAGTTGTCACTGTGACCTCACTGACCTCAAGTCTGGACTGGACCCTGGTCTAGATCAGACCCTGCAGGGCCTGGACTGGACCCTGCAGCGCCTGAACTGGACTCTACAGGACCCGGATCAGAGTCCCTGTCTGGTTGTGGAGGTGCTGGGACCTTGCAAGACCTGGATCATACCTTGCAGGACCTGGATCAGACCCTTCAGGACCTGCACCAGAACCTGCAGCACCTGGATCAGACTTTTCAGAATGTGGATCAAGGTCGTTGTCTGGGTGTGGAGGTGCTGGTACCCTGCAGGACCTGAATCAGACCCTGCAGGGTCTGATCCAGACACTTCAGGACCTGGGTGTGTGGTGGTGTGGGTACCTTACAGGGTCTGGATCAGACCCTCAAGGATGTGTGGAGGTGCAGGTACCTTGCAGGACCTGGACTGGAGGGTCTGGTCCAGACCCTTCAGGACGTGGTTGTGTGCTGCTGCTGGTACCTTACAGGGTCTGGATAAGACTCTTCTGGACCTGAATGTGTGCTGTTGCAGGTACCTTACAGGGTCTGATCCAGACCCTTCATTCCTGGACTGGAGGGTCTGGTCCAGACTCTGCAGGACCTGTATCAGGGTCCCTGTTTGGGTCCAGCTGTGCAGGTACCTTGAGGCTGTTGCTCTTGCCCATCCTCAGACAGCCCATCCACATGTCGGTGAGCAACATCTGGCTGCAGGTGTGGGCGATGAAGTCTCGGTGTTTGGCGGCGACTGCGAGTTTCAGACAGGTGGAGTTACTCCAGTTCTTCAGCTCATACGTCAGCAACTTCATCGCCACCTGCTCGTCATGTTTGTACGACTGGTCCAACAACTCGTAGGCCAGCTGACCGAACTCCCTGCGCAGAGGAGACACAGCAGCACCCCCACAGGATGTGACATCACTACACACCAGAACACTTCCTGTCAATACATCAGTATTTCTCCTGTCATGTTATGTTTCCATCGTTCTCTTTGCTGACTCAGAAACTCTTAAAGTCCTCCTCCCTGTTTCTGACAGAGTTTCACCGCAGCAGCTCTCTGAAGATGCTCTGAGAATAACCCTTATCTTAACCAGGACCTGGTCTATCTTTCAGGGGAAATGTCACTCTAATGATTTTCTTTTTGTTGCTATAGGATGCTCTGTGAATACAGGCCCTGGTATGTAGTCTGTGGTCTGTGGTCTACTGGGCCCTGGTCTGTCTCTGGTCTCTGGTTTATAGGCTCTGGTCTCTGATCTCTGGTCTCTGGTCTTTTGTCCCTGGTTTCGAGTCCCTGGTACCTGGTCCCTAGTCTCTGATTTCTGGTCTCTGTGGGACTCACTTGGAGTTGTTCTCCAGGTCCTGGTAGATGTCATCCACCAGCTCGCTCTGGGACGACTCGTGGGCCATGGCCTTGTAGAGTTTACAGGCCACCAGCGCCTTGGCCATGGCCTCCTCCCCCCGCTGCCACAGGAAGAGCGCCATCTTCTGACGCTTCATCAGCACTGCCCACACCATCAGCTCATGGAATGGGTACTGAAACCTGCTGACCTCGGGGTCGTCCACGTCGATGTCCACTTCCTCCTCCTTCTTCTTGTTTTTCTTTCCTTTGCCCTTTGGGCGGGGCTCGTCATCCTGCAGGAAGTGACCTCACAAGTCACATGTCAGTCCACCATCAGCTGATCTTATATGTACAACAGAAAGTACTGAAAACAACAAACCTCCATTCCCAGAAGTTTCAGAGCCTTTGGCTGCGAGAGAAGAGACAAAGACATCAGTTTATTATTCCAGAAATACGTCATCATCACAGTCCCGTCAGCTTTATACTCAACGAGTCTCATTCATGAAACATTTGTTAATCTGTGAGCAGATCTGCACATGTAAAACCTCGGTACTAAAAACTTGCACCAGTCATGAACGCTGCGGTGAACTCTGGTTTGATAGTAGGCAACATGTGTTTGTTCATATATGCCAAGCAGTTGTAAATTGACAGTGCGCTAATGCTAGTTGGTAATTAGCATACAGCCCCACCCATGAATGTCCAGTGACATCATATATGGAGGTGATAACTACTATGATAGGTGTATCCTGTCAACCTGTGGACACATGGATCAAACACAGACAGAGAGAAGAAAAGGTTTCTGATGCTGAGGCTGATATTATTTCAGAGAGAAGAATATTTTGTTTCCTCCTGTCAGTAGAGGTGTGACAGTGACAGGTAAATCAGAGGCTGTTAACTCTGTGTCCTCTGCTGTGAAAACTATCTGGGCCCCGTTTCCCAGAGCCTTTGTAGCACTACATGCATGCTAAGTTGTGTCTTAAGGTCTCCCTTAAGCTTAGGGGCTGTTTCCCAGAGTCTCCTTAGTGAAGATCTATCTTCTAAAGGGTAGATCTTAAGAAGGGTGGACTGAACCACTCGTAAGCTGTCCCTGATGACGGAGGAGCTGTTACACGTTGGGGCCCAGTGTGGCAATACCCACCTGTGACCTCAGCTAGATAGATCGTCGGAAATCTACATTCAACTGAAAACTGGATTCTGGATCTACAGCAGGTTATGAATGAATGAACAGTATACACATGTATTATGAATGAATGAACAGTATATACATGTATTATGAATGAATGAACAGTATATACAGTGTTATACTGTATATACTGTTCATTCATTCTAAATCTATCTATATC